GCAGATGGTGGTTGTTACTGTTCAGGTTGTCTCCCCTGACAGGTCTGCACCTCCCAGCCTAGCCCAGTTCCTGGCACAGCAGCTTGGGACAGTGGCTAGTCCATCTTCACAAGGCTACTGGCACAGTGTCACCTACTTCAGTAATTGTAAATAGGAGTAGGATCTGAGATGTCTATTTGTACTGTCCCAATTCCGATGGAAGCTCCCAGTACTGGTCCACCTGAGGGTTTGCCACCCGTGGTCATGGCAAACTCAGCTGGGTTCATTGCTGAGTTTGCCAAGTGTTCATTGCTGCTTCCTGAGCACCCCAGGCCCTGGGCTGGGAGACTCCTTTCAATCATTGTCATCACCCCTATTCGCACTCAAGGCAACTGAGGCCTTGGGAAATGAAGTCTTGTGAACTCACACCCGAGTTCAGATTTTGCTTTTGCCACTTCCCAGCTGTGTGACTTCAGGCAAGTGAAGCAGCCTCTCTCAGCTCCAGTTTCTTCCTTTTTAAAATAGCAATAAAACCTCCGTGACAACAGTGTGTTGTTCTTAGGAATCAATAATCTGGGCAAAGTCTTCAATTAGGACCTGGCACATAGTAAGTGCAGGGTGCACATTAGCTATTTTTATCATCACATGGCTCTTGGTATCTCTTTCTTCAGCTAAAATGGAGAGTAATAATATGTGCTTCATAAGATTGCTGCATGGGTTGCATGAAATATGCCTTCATTCGTGCATTCCTTCCTTCAACTAGTGTTTATCAAGCAGCTCCCAAGTGCCTTGTTCTAGACACTGAAGACTGAGCTCCTGGAGCAAGACACGCTTCCTTCTCTCAGGGGTTTTATGGCTGACGGGAAGTCAGAGGTCTAATTCTTGAGTGATAGAAACAAGCATCTGACTGTGGTTGTGGGGTGTGCTGACTGTACTCAGGGCTCAGCACAGCGCTGGGCACAGTGCAAGCGGTTATTCTCATGATTTCATTATAGTTGAGTTTATAAATATTTTCTGTTATAGAACTCTGAAAAGATTTCTGTGGCTCTCTGTGGTGGTAACTGTAGAAGACATAATGCTTTTGCTGCAGTTTTGCCATGGGAGTGAAAGGCTGTTGATTTGGAGGTTCGGTCCAGGCAGCCCTGAGGCTCAGGGTTTCCCCAGACCACGAGAGCCAGGAGGCTTCCTTTGGGAGGTCCACTCAGTCCTCAGCGTGCTATGGCCTTGACTTCCACTCCTGGGACTTGAGGAGCAGACAGTATTGGTGTGTAGAGGGAAATTATGAACACTCTGGTAGTAGGATTTACTCTCTTATGAAGTAGTGAGCCCCCCAAACCACTAGGGTGCAAGTAGGAGCTGAGGAGTACCTATGGAAGTGGGGTGCCAGCCGCTTCTACAGCAAGCTTCTCTGGGCCTCTGTTTGCCAAGCAAACAGGAATCCTCCTCCCAGGATCTGAAAGGAAGCACAGTGTCCAGCACCAGTCCTCACAGGACAGTGTGGGCTGATCCTTCCACCTTGAACGTGTTATCTGAGACAGGGAGACTCACTGTGTGTTTCTTTTTCTTTCTTTTTTTTTTTTT